ACACACACACACACACACACACAGAGACACACACACACACACACACACACACACAAACACACACACACACACACACACACACACACAAACTCCCTCGGAGCACAGACATCAACCTTCTGCCAATGCACTATCCAACATCTACACTTAAACATACAGCATTCGTGTATGTGTGTCTGTGTGTGTGTGTGTGTGTGTTTGAATATGCATGTGTTATTTTTGAAGGTAAGGGCAGCAAGCATCGTTCACCCTAACTGAGATCTGGCCCCTGAAGGATTTGCTGATAGTTTTGTTTGCATACATGCATATCTCCATGACTCAGTGTGTTGAAGGCACATGCATGTTGTGTGCTGTAATTCTATGCAAGCGCTGAGAACCGCTTGATCTTTCTATTTATAGGTCTGTTGATTAATAGAGTGATCGCAGATAGGCATTATTGAGCTGGACAGACTCTGGTTCATAGTTACACTCCAGTAACACTGATTCTAACAGGTTAATATGGCTTTAGCAAACACACACTGCACTTTCTAGCACCTTCAACACATGCATGTTCCCTGTGTTCAGACCAACGGGGCCATCTAGTGACTCTAGACTGTAATTATAACTGATAAAGAACAGTGAAAGACTCCTTTACTGTATACTGCAGACTGTGTACTGAATCAATAATCAGTAATCTAGCTATAGACAAACATCAAGTGTTTAATCAAAGGAATGTTCCATCTTGATTTTTAAATGTGAGATTAATATGAAACAAATATGCTTGACTAGTTTTTGTACTTGTTTTTGTCCAGTCGAAACAAAGGTGTTTATGCACTATTCTGTTTGTTAGTTAGTGGATTATGTTATGCCACCGGTGAAAGGATCTTATTCTAGATCTTTTCCAGCATGCTAAGGAAAGGGTTAGAAAATAATAATGTTTTTACACAGAGAATTCATTGGTTTCCTCAGGACCCTCCTTTAAGATTTCAGAAATTTGAGTTTGTATTAAAAAACATTTCAGAAAGAGACTTTCATGTTTTGTTCTACAACATAAATGACAGCACATCAAATGCATGTGTGCATTTTAAAGACAATGTAAGTTGCTAACAGATTGAAAGATGGTCGTCCAATCTGTCAATCATATAAACTCACATGCTTTTAGTCAAAAATAGATGCGTGTAGTTCACAATCA